GGGGGGGGCAAGAAAAAAATTTAAAAAAAAATAAAAATCACTCTTCCCTTGCGGTGGGAATTGTTAGCTGCTGTGGGCTCACCCGTGAGACAGGCAGGACTGGGAGCCAGTGTATCATCTCCCTGTGCTCTCAGTGGGCATCGCAGGCTGCGCCGGCATTAACACTTCACTTCAGAGCAGGCATTCTCTTTTAACAAGGGAGTTTCTAATTTCTCCTCAGCGTAGCTTGGCTCACACTGTGTGGAACATGAGGGCACGAGAACCGCGTGGTGGGTCAGATGAAGGGTCCATCTGCACTGGACGGCAGCGCTATTTAGGGAGAACATCCGAACCAGGCCCAGGCAAGAGGGCTGGCCCCCTCACCACCCCCTCGGGGGCAGCAGGGAGGGTGAGCTGCCCAAGCCTTGGCTCCCAGCTCAGTTGGGCTCCACCGCTGGCTCTCCCCGCTGAGAAGTGGTCAGCGATCGCTTCTGCACGCAACGCTCCTGGCGTGCAGAAACGGGCTCCTTTGGGAAGCCATGGGATGCACCCCAGCAGTCCACCCGACTGCTAATGGACGTGCAGCCCCCTAACGGGACCAGAGCAGCGCCAGCCCAAAGTAAAACCTCCCAAATGTCTCTCAATCTTCAGGTTTGCTCCCGCTGCATCGCGCCGCCTGCTCAGGTAGGCACAGCCAGAAACGCTCCGTGCGTTTGATTGCGCAAGGAGCCGGGGAGAGGAGAGCTGGAAACACCTGGAGAAATTCCAGTGGCGTGGCGTGTTATCCTTGTAAGCCATGTGTCACTCTTACCCAAGTGAGCATCAGCGTGAAGCCAGATAGCAACTTTTAAAATAATTTGAAAATTATACGCAAGAGCCGCGCAAAAGCAGCATGAGGCTTACAGCATTAACCACTCATTGTTACGAAACTTTCAATTAAGGCTGTCAAAAAAAAAAAAACAACACCAAAACCCAAACCTTAATTATTGTTTTAATATATGAGTTTTTAATTACACTCCATGCTACTTTCCCAGGGATACCTGGCACAGGACCAACCGCACTCTCCCTCATGGCACCATTTGGTTTCTTCCCTGCTCCTGCGCCTATCTGCCCCGTTGCACTATGCCTCGCTCAGACCTATCTCTTGAGATAAAAACAAAAACAAAAAACCCAACCCCAAACCTCTGTATTTCCTCACTTTTCTTGCGGGGTTTTATCACTACGCCAGCCCTTGGGTGTTTTCACAGCTCCCCTCAGGAGTGTTTACCTGAGGGCGGGCACTGCCCGCTTTGGTTTAACCACCAGTGTCGGCTTAGCGGAGAGGGGTGGTTTGCGGGAGGCGGGGTGCTCAGCGGGCACCGCTCCCTATGGGGAGTAATAACGGCTGAGGACACCCCGCTT